TGTGTTGCCCAGTATACTGCTGTAGATACACTGGAGACAGTGAGGGTGGGAGTGATAAAGCCGCCATTCCTTTATTATCTGGGGTCAGATCGTTTTTATCTTATTACAAATATAATCCACAAGCATTATGATACAGATACAGAACTTTTGCACAGAATGTCTCTAATATAAATTGGAGTTGTAATCAGCATATCAAGTCTCAAGTTTATCCCTGGCATTTGTTAATATTCATCACAGCAGTGATTCTTTAAAATGAAAATTCCCAGGGGCCCCACCCTAAATCGACTGAATCAGAATCGCTGTGCTAGGGGTCTGGAAACCTACGTTTTAGCAAGTTCCTCAGGATGATTCTTATCCATATTAAACCGTAAGCCACCTGAACTATCACAGGGTAGATTAGCGTGGTGGGAGGTATGCTCATTCTATGATAAAACTAACAGATTAAAATGAGTCATAGAGATAAGGCTTTGTGTATAGATGCACATTATGCAGAAATTTGCATACACACAGAAGGCTGTGAAGGGAAGGGAATCAACATTTCCTAACTGCCTACGATAGTATAGCTCTTGACCAAATTATGGCGTATTACTCAATCTTCAAAATAATCCGATTTGAGTTATGGATGAAAAAAAGTTAAGGCTTAGACCAAGTAACTTTTCTGAAGTCACAAGCCTGGGACAGGGACCAGCACGGTTGTGAAACTAGATTTATCTGACCCAGTCTTCTCATTCCATTGTATTAAGCTCATGTGCCTATGAAATCTCTCTCTCTCCCTCCCTCCCTCTCTCTCTCTCTCTCTCTCTCTCTCTCTCTCTCTCTCTCCCTCCCTCCCTCCCTCCCTCCCTCTCTCTCTCTCTCACACACACACACACACACACACACACACACTCATGTCATAAGATAGCCATATGGTAAAACGGCATAGGAATTAAATTATTTTTAAAACTTTTTTTTTGCATCAACAGAAATGTAGTTTTAAAGAACTTACAATATCAACGAATATTCTTTGACAACAGAATAAAGGGTAGGACTACTATCAAAACCACATTTAATAGCCTGGATATTAGTAATCAGAAATGTGTTTTGAGGCTTGCTAGGGTCAAATTTAACAGCGATTCTTGATTTGCTCAAGCTGCACATTTTTTGCAAATGAAACATCTTCATATCCATTCTGTAAGTCCGATTACCTTACAAAGGAAAATGCCATCAAACAGATCTAGCACGTGTCAATCCAAGGACCATTCCGGGCCCCCCTCCAGCATCTGACACTCCAGGTCTCTCCACTGGGAAACCCCCTGCTGCTGGCTTCTGGAGTCATGTTCTGCCCTGGTTCCTCCTTGCTCTTTTGCCAAAATTCTCTCTAGATCCTGCCTAGGCCCTTCCTTCTTTTCTCACAAGGCTTCATCCTCAGCTTCTGCCTCCATCTAGTCTTTCTGAAAACAATCTCTTCTTCCATCTCTTGAATTATTTATATTGCAAGGACTGCCAAACTAGCTCTGGCCTTCCTCTGGAGCAGTGGTCGGCAAACTCATCAGCCAACAGAGCCACATATCAATAGTACAACGATTGAAATTTCTTTTGAGAGCTAAATTTTTTAGACTTAAACTTCTTCTAACGCCACTTCTTCAAAATACACTTGCCCAGGCCATGGCATTTTGTGGAAGAGCCACACTCAAGGGGCCAAAGAGCTGCATATGGCTTGTGAGTCAAAGTTTGCCGACCACGGCTCTGGAACATATAGCCCCCATCTGTCCGGGGGACGCCATACTCCAACGCTTCAAACTCAGCATCTCTAACACACAGCCCCTCACCTCCCGCCAAGTTCCTTCCACAGGGGCCATGCTCTGGAGATCTGCTGTGTTAGCTGTTTCTTCTCCACTGAGATGGCAGATTGTGTCAGCCCTTCCTTTTGCATCAGCTCCTTTCCCACTTCACTGCCATTGCCCCTTCAGGCCTTCCCCCATCCTTTCTAACTGGTCTTCCTGTCTCTAGTCTCTGCCCTGCCTTTCCTCCCCATGTCCCTGCAGCCACCACAAGGACACTCCTCATGCGCAGCCATGATGCTCCACTGTCCAAATATCTTCGATGTCTCCTACTGGTTAATCCACCCCTATTTCCTAGCTTGGCATTCAAGACCAGTATCATTTGGTACCAAAATGTTCTCCAGTTGTATTTCCCACCAGATGCCTCTATAGACCAGTTCTAACTCAACTGGGCTTACTACCTTTCCCTGAATACGTTCTGTGCTTTCCTATTCTGCTACTTCTATCTCAAATGCCTCCTCATCTCTTTGATGGAAACCACATTCTTTAAGGACTTGTTAAATGTGTGTGTGGTTTTTTTGTTTTGTTTTTTTTTCTCTCAAAAGAGTCCGTCTCCCAGAAGACCTCTTCCTCTTCAAATCACCAAAATATATCTATATTTTCTGGCATTTACCATGCAGTTATTTTTGTGTGTATTTTATTTCCTCACTTACAAAACTGTCTAACAGGCAACCCTGTGGCTCAGTGGTTGATGGTCGAGTCATGAACCAGGAGGTCACGGCTCCATTCCCAATCAAGATACATGCCTGGGTTTTGGGCTTGATCCCCAATAGGTGGCGTGCAGGAGGCAGCCACTCAATGGTTCTCTCTCATCATTGCTGTTTTTCTCTCTCTCCCTCTCCCTTCCTCTCTCTGAAATCAATAAAAACATATCAGCCAAAACCAGTTTGGCTCAATGGATAGAGTGCCGGCTTGGGGACCGAAGGGTCCCGGGTTCGATTCTGGTCAAGGGCATGCACCTTGGTTGCAGGAATATCCCCAGTAGGGGGTGTGCAAGAGGCAGCTGATTGATGACTCTCTCTCATCGATGTTTCTAACTCTCTATCTCTCTCCCTTCCTCTCTGTAAAAAATTAATAAAATATATTTTAAAAAATAAAATAAAAATAAAAACGTGTCAAGCATACACAGAAACGGTTTGACAGGGAAGGAACCAGATCTTTTTTATGCTGAATCCTCTATTCTCTCTAGCACAGTGCCACACTCATATCAGTTACTCAAGGGGTATTTTCTGCATTACATGTATAGAACTCCTAAAAGTTTGCAAAGCACATTTACATTCAACATCTCATTTGTTCTATTTGGAGCTTACGTTTATTACAAGTAGCATTCAAAACTTCCAGTCTGATTTACGTTGCTTAATGCAATTATTGGCACTAGCTCTAACTTTGTCACGTTATTATTTTTGTTGTTATTAATCCTCACCCGAGGATATTTTCCATTGATTTTTAGGGAGAGTGGAAGAGAGAGGGAAAGAGAAAGAGAAACATCGATGTGAGAGAAACATTGTTTAGTTGTCTCCTGCACCAGCCCTGACCAGGGCCTGGGCTGGGCCTGCAACCAAGGAACCGGCTATTGTCCGGGAATCAAACCGGGATCCTTTGGTCCACAGGCCGATCCTCTAGCCACTGAGGCACAAGTTGCAAGTGTTTAAAGGTATAACTTTGTATCTTTAAGTGAAAGTTTCTCTTAAATTGCTTTGCTTTGAACACTCATAGTGCCATGTGGCCTCCAAAGCTAAAAAACAGCATTTTGAGTCAAAGACAGCCCACTTGCCAAACTGGTTTTTTCCTCTGCCTACAGGTTAAATGCACAAATGAGAGGCCTCTATAAGCAGATGAGAGTAATGGCAAAATCAAAATCTTAAATTCCTTTCTGAAAAGATTCTCCTATCTATCCAGTTGGAATCCTATTTCTGCGTCAGTCGCCAACATTCTTGGAGTTGGCGTTCCAGCACATTAACAATAACAAGCCTCTAACTGTTGAACAGTCCTTGCTAAAAGACTGAATATGGCCAATAACACGATAGTCTTGAATCCCCAAGTGCCTTGGAGAAGCTCGATTAACATGTGTTGAATGAACAAGTAAATGAATGAATTCAGAGAAGGCCTTCCTATTGTTTGTAAGTTGAAAGTGTAAGTTTCATAGATGAATGGAAGGATATGTTAAATCTGAAAAAAGGGGGGGGGGGCGAGTGCATTGAGGGGCAAGAACTGTGATCTGTCAGCTCTTCCTGTGACGGATCCTACTCCGGCTGCTGGCGAAGCAGGTGGAGGAGGGGATGAATGTCAGGCTGCCCGTCTGACTAGGTCTCTCTTGAGTTTAGGTTGCAAGTTCCTCCAGGGCAAGCACTCTGGGGCCCTAGCAATGTGCTTTGTATATAAAATGTGCACCATAAACTTAGTATGAGATGCAAAGACCGTCATGAGCTGCCTGTGCATGTTTACATTTCAGTTCTCCACATCTATTCTTCCTTACCTTATAGGAATAGTTAAAAATACAGCACTTAATCCCCGTAAGACACTGCCTTACACACACACACACACACACACACACACACACACACACGTACGTGACCACGGGTAGTTGTTATCATCATCATCTCGGAGGCTTTGTATATGCCTCACAGGTAGCATTTACTGGACTGTGTTGTCAGGACTTGTCTGCACAAGTTGCAAGTGTCCTGGGGCGGGCTTTTCATCCTTTAATGCTCAGGGCCCAGCCAGTGCTCACTCCACAGCAGGCCCTGAGGCTGGTGGCATGACTCAGCAATCGAGGTCCAGGTTCAAGGCCTGCCTCTCTCCCAGCCCACTGGGTCACCTTGAAGAGTCGTATAAACTATCTGGGCCTCAATGATGTCTGTCAGTCCTTCCGACCTCGAGAAGCTAGCAATCTAGAAGGAAACTTACAGGAGCTCCCATGACAGTCACTGGCAGAACTGAGGGGAGAAGCCAGACCCTGGAGTCTCATTCACTTAGCTCACCCTTCCTCACAGCGGCCTCACACACACACGTGTCTCCTTAATAACAATTCGCTTAAATATCATCGTCACTTTGTGTAATCCCCAAACCCGGTGGATCACTGGCACAAATCACATGCCCCTGGGGCGGCCTTCAGTCCCTCAGAAAAAAAGCATTTTCTCCTTCAGGTAGACTTCGGAGACACACACATTTAGTTACCTCAGGTAGAACGGATCAGCCTTAACGAAATCAGTTTCTCGTGCTTTGGAAGAAATCACTTGGAAATCCTTGGTTCTGAGTCCTCCATCTCTTCCACATCAAGATCTAAAAAAGGAAAAGCGCAGTGTCTCAAGATTCGCTGCCAGGATTTGATGGGTCGGCAACAACAGTAATTACAATTAGCATGCGTACTGAACACCTACTGTAAGTCAAGCACTGAGCAAAGTGACTGACATATGGGACCTCATATAGTCTTTATAACACCCCTGAAATATAGCAGACATTCCCCACGTTACAGCCATACCGAGAGACTCTGAGAGGTCACAGAATATGCTCAAGGTCACACAACTAGGCTATGCCGATCTGGGACTTAAATCCAGGTTCAACCGATTCCAAAGCCTGGGTTATTAACCTGTATGTAAGTCGGGGGTTTAAAAAATTTGTTGACAGTGACCCACCGTTTTTAAAAATTATATAAACAAACTCCAAAATCTCAAACATCAAAACAATGCTTACTTTTTTGCTGTGTGCAATGCATTAAGACTCGATTCTTCTCTGTATCTTTTCAAAAATCCCAAGAGTAACTCATCAAACTGATTTCACACTCTTCTAATGGGCCCCTGCTCCTCTGGGAAAACACCACGCTTAGGAAACCTGACGAGAAGTTTCTCTGAAAGCACGCCCTAAACCCTCCTATGCTTTTCCAACCTTGAGAACCTGACCGAGTAGTTGAGCTTTCTAATTTGGAGAAACGTCTTTCACCGTTAAAATGGGTATAAGGCACCATAACGCATATCATCTATAACGAATCCTTAAAAAGCTATATTCAATCAGGGCCAACGTCCAGAATAGTATTTAATCACTTACCTATAGCAGAGCGGAAGTGATAAAGCGGAATCGCAGATGGACTAAAATCTAAGGTGACTAGTATACACTCTGCAAAAAAAAAAAAAAAAGTGCCTAACGGCGGGCGGCTGGGTTGGACCAACTGGGCAGACCTAACTCTCCTGCAGAAGTGGGAGGCTGGGATTGCACCCCCTGGGGGGCAGGGCCCTGCCTCTGCATTTTCCATTCAATTCCAGGGTTTGGGTGTTGAACCAAGGGAAATCATCAGGTCTTCCGCTGGGTGAGGTCCGGGGTCCGAGTCGCAGTCTGGGGGTGGGGAGGTGCGACTGTCAGACGCTCAGCGCCCTAGCCTGTTGGACCCGCGCCCAGAACGTCCCTTGGGTGCGCACTGCTCCCGGCCCCCCGCCCTCCGGCACGGCTGCGCAGTGGGGCCGCTAGTTGCAGCGCAACCTGAGCGGCTCCCTCCGCCGCGGAGCCCCCTCCCCGGCGGGCAGACGGCGCAGGCCCGGAGCCCGGGCACCTGCGGGCGCGGGGTCCCTGCAGCGGCTCCGCTCCCGGCGCCGGCGGAGCCCACAGCCCGCGCCAGGCTCCGCTGCCGGGTCTCGATCGCCCCCCCGGGGGACGGGAGGGGCAGGCGGGCCGCGCTCGGAGCCCAGCGCCCCCCGGCCGCGCGCGCAGACCCAGCGACTGGCACTTACGGGCTTGGACTCCGCCGCCGCCGCGCGCGCCTTTCCCGGGGGGTCCATGGCGCTTCCGGACCCGCCAGGCCGCCGCGCCGCGCAGCACCGCCCAGAAAATGGACGCCGGCTGGGCTCTGCCAGCCCGGCCCGCCCCCGGCGCCGGGCACTGGCCGCGGCCCGTCCGAGAGAAGGTCGGTCCGACCCTCTGCACCGCGCGGGCCGGTGCTGCAGGGGGCCCGCTGCGCCCTGACCGGGGGGCCCCCGGGAGGGCAGCAGCGAGGCCCGGGGGCACCCACGGAGGCCCCGGGAGGCCCCAGACCTACCCGGCGGACAGCGGCCTCCGCCTCCACCAGCCAGAACCCGCGGGAGGACAGAGCACAGTCGCCATCAGGACAAGGCCTGGCCCGCAGCAGGGTCCCAGGGTTCTTGACCCAGATCCCAGACAGCAGCCAAATCCTGCGCATTGGAGAGAGGCAGGGATCGGAGAAAGTCAAGTGCAGTTGCAATTTAGTTAAATTCTCAGGACGGAGGGGTATCACCTGCGCTTTCCCATGGCTGTCAGGGCCTGGATTGATTTCCCGCACGTGGTATAAGTTATTTCACGCAAAAGTTCCAGCTCTCTTCCTTACGTAAAGGCCACTGGACTGCGAGGCTCTTCCTTCTGAGGTCCAGGGACTGCGCTCTGAGAAAGTATTTACTGAGCGAGGCCTGCCTCACACGCGTCACGTAGCTAACAGCCCAGTGCACTAACGTACGGGTTTTGTTTGCTTGTTTTCAAAAACCCATCCATGTGTCCTGCGTCTTGGTGGTATGAGTCTTACTTAAAAATTTTCTTTAGAAAAGATTCACTCCAAGGTGACGATTTAGGATGGAAAGTCTGTTCTTGACTTCGCTTATATCCTGTTTTTTTTTTTAGCTGGGAGTGCCGTGTTCGCAATTCTGCATCGCAGGTCCTGACCATGTTTTCATTGCGTGATCATTTTGATGAAAGTAGATTCCAACATTAAATACAAAACCAATAAAACTTTTTTTTAAATTTTAAATAATCAGGGAAAATATGTTGCCTTGAAATAAAATTTAAGGGTCATGAAATTTTAAAAAATAAAGGCATGATTTAGTGCCACAAATAAACCTTATCACCAGACCTCATAAATAAATAAATAAATAAGTAGGCAGGCTTTTGAAGACGGGCAGGTTGGACAACATGCATACACATGTACACTAGCAGCTCCAACCCCCTCAAAGCCACGCACCCTTTATTCTCTCTCCCTAGGCCACACGTCTAGAAAGATCTATTCCACCAAATTGCATGTATTAACGAATGATTCATCTTCCCACTTAGAAAAATGATCCTGCCAAAACCGGTTTGGCTCAGTGGTAGAGCGTCGGTCTGCAGCCTGAAAGGTCCCAGGTTCGATTCCGGTCAAGGGCATGTACATCAGTTGCGGGAACATCCCCGGTAGGGGGTGTGTAAGAGGCAGCTGGTTGATGTTTCTCTCTCATTGATGTTTCTACCTCTCTATCTCTCTTCCTTCCTCTCTGTAAGAAATCAATAAAATATATTAAAAAAAAAAAAAAAGAAAAAAGAAAAAGAAAAATGATCCTGTGGTGTTTTTGTTAATGTAACAGTAACTGCCAATCAGAGCTTCTACAAAACTTGAGCGAACCTATTGTGAATTGTGGATTCCAACCCAATGAAACCTGTGGTTTGATCGCCAAGTCTGTGTGTTTTCTATGGAGGCTTTTGGAAACAGAAAATCATATGGACCCTCCAACAAAATGGAGGCACCTGAGTTAGGAGCCACGGGCATTGCTCTCTGGGCTTCTCTGAGATTGGAAGGTGGGAGGCGGTAGAGCAAAGTAATTTGGCCTTTGGATTCTGCCTGCCCGGGTTTAAAGCCCAGCTTTGTCACTTACAAGGTCACTCGCGATGTAATTTTAGGCAAACGACTCACTTTCCCTGAGCGTTGGCTTCCTCGTCTGTAAAATGAGGCTGTTTTTAATATTACACTGGCCTCCTAGGGCTTTTTGATGATTAAACGGGATAGCGCACAAGAAGCACCTACAGTAGTGCCTGGCACATAGTAAGCGCTCTGTAAGTGCAAACAGTTGTGGCTCTTAGTGCTGCAAGTCAAGTATTCAGAGCTCTGAGTCCACGTGGTCCGAACCATAGCTTCAGTGTGTAAAGCAACCTTTATACCCTAGAAATTTTCCACGGGAAAAGCTGCCAGGGTCACATGGAGACTGACATAAAGGGATTTAAACACAGGTCTGACTCCACAGTCCGCTTTCTGTGCTGCTAACATGTTCCAAGGTGGTACCTTGATCAGAAGCTGTCAACAGCTTGTTAAGGGTGAAATCGGCTCTGGCTTTCCTAAGAGGCTTAGCAAATGAATGCCTCCTAACATCCACCTGGGAATTCACCAACAGTGGCATTTCTTTCTCTTTAGAGCTAAATGTTTCCCCAGAAGTGAGCAGATTTCCCCAAATTGTTATTAATAACTAAAATATCATGGCAACAGTTTTGAACACCGCCACCTAAACCTTACATAATCAGCCTGTCCTTCAAAAATTTCCACCCTTCCTCATAACCCGTCGCAGATTCTCTCTCTTAATCATTCTTCTGACCATGGGGAACGAGCTGGAAATTTCCCGGAACGTCCTAACTTGTCATGATTTTATTCTTTTCTGGAAAGGTTTGTTCTTTTTAAAACACATCAATGCGATTTCTTTTTCCACAGCGCTGGAATACTTTTCATTGTCATACATTTGCTAATCACCAAAAAACACCTAAGACTTTAAGATTTTCTCCTTTCTCCTTACATTTCTATCCATTCTTCAACATCTCCACAGCATGACTCCTGATCCTTTTCCACTGGCCTTTTTAGGTGTTGCTTGTTTCCTACCTCATTTCTTTTAATTCCTGCTATTTCCGTTATGTTACAACTGTCTGCTAGCACTTTTTGATTTAGGAGTATTGGCCAATTTAACATGTATTGCCCTCTATTTTTTAAGGTTTCTATATTATCGTAATATATAAATAGATGTAAGTGGTGTCTCTATTAAATCGACTTGCTTCCTTTGACTCATTCTGCCTCCCATATTTGCAGCACTCTGTGAACTCAATTTATTGTTTACTTTTCCTCTCTTTCCCTCATCCTGGGTACAGATTCCATCACTTGGCCTCCCTCGATGTGGCTGCTTATCTCTTTTCTTCAAGCATTTTAAGAAAGTGCCCGTCTAAGCCATTTTCTCTAATCACCACGTGAAAGGCCCCTTGTGATACTGTGTTGAGAAGTCTACCAAAGCCCAGGAAGAGACGGTGTTGAAAAAAGGGGTGTCACCTTCCAATGCCCACGGGGAGCCAGCAGGAAGTAATGTGAACTGGGGTCAACAGGATAACCGGCGTCCCACCTCACTGGGGAGTGCGGGAGGTCACCACCCAGCCCCAGAGCAACTGTTGCCAGGCGGGGATCCCAGGTCCGCATACTTTTCCGATGAAGCCCAAACCGGGACTTTTAGATAAAACATATGAGATGTCGAATACTTAAAAAACAAAAGGAATCTGAATCTGATCAG